TTGGTGAATGCCACAAATTCTCCTAAATCACTCGTACGCACAACTTAAGAACAAATCTGTGAGTACGAACGGTTCTTGCATGAGGCCCATTGGGTGTTGATGCTTTGGTCAAACCATGAAAATAACATTCTGTGAGTGATCTGTTTGCGGTTGGAATATGTTTTGGAAATGACTCGATTTCTACCTCCTTAAATTTTAGCTCAGTGAAGTTGAAAATTGTTTTCTAAGGTCAGTTGATTTTTAAATTAATTTAGCTTTAACCATCTGCCTTCACATTTCCACAATAAAAATCAGAACTGTAACTCAAAGACTTGTATTTGTGAGAGAATTTTAATGTTGTTCACTGATTTGATTCTTCTGACCCACCCTCAGATGGAGGTCCTGCAGTGGCTGACTGACGACTCGTCTCTGCCCTCCTCCGTGTGCAGCACACCCTGCCGTACTGGCGAGAGGAAGAAGGTTGTGAAAGGCGTCCCCTGCTGCTGGCACTGCGAGCGCTGTGAAGGATACCACTTCCAGGCCAGCGAGTTCACGTGTGAGCTCTGTCCGTACGAGAAGAGACCCAACCAGAACCGCACCAGCTGCCAGCCGATCCCCATCATCAAGCTGGAGTGGCACTCGCCTTGGGCTGTGCTGCCTGTCTTCATCTCCATCATGGGCATTATTAGCACAACCTTCGTCATCGTCACCTTCGTCCGCTACAACGACACACCCATCGTGCGAGCCTCGGGTCGGGAGATGAGCTACGTCCTGCTGACGGGCATCTTCCTGTGTTACATCATCACGTTCCCCATGATCGCGGCGCCTGACATCGTGGTCTGCTCCTTCCGCCGCATTTTTCTGGGCCTCGGCATGTGCTTCAGCTATGCTGCGCTGCTGACCAAGACCAACCGCATCCACCGCATCTTTGAGCAGGGAAAGAAAGCGGTGACGGCCCCTCGCTTCATCTCCCCAGCCTCCCAGTTGGTCATCACCTTCTCGCTCATCTCCGTTCAGCTGCTGGGCGTCTTCGTGTGGTTCGCCGCCGACCCGCCTCACACCTTTGTGGACTACGGGGAGCAGCGCACCATGGATCCTAAGAAAGCTCGGGGCGTCCTCAAGTGTGACATCTCAGATCTGTCGCTCATCTGTTCCTTGGGTTACAGTATCCTCCTGATGGTCACGTGCACTGTTTATGCCATCAAGACGCGCAGTGTCCCTGAGACCTTCAACGAAGCCAAACCCATTGGATTTACTATGTACACTACCTGCATCATCTGGTTGGCCTTCATCCCCATCTTCTTCGGCACAGCACAGTCTGCAGAGCGGGTGAGGAAACCTCTTATACTGCATCACTGGAGTTCTTTAAATTGGTGTTTGGAGATGTAATTTAAAGGTTGTAGCAGTTTTGACATGTTGCTTCTTAGCAAGGAGGTCACAGGTTCACGTCCTGGTCTGTCAGTGTGGAGTTTATATTTTCCCCCTGTTCTCAGGTGGGGTCTTCTCCAGGTAATACGGTTTCCTCCCACAGACCAGGGTTGTTGTAAATTGTCTCTGACTGACAGAGTGACTCGTTGTTTGTCTCTAGGTGTCCCTGTGATGGACTAGAAACTTTCACATCTGCCTCTCACATAATGGGATTTTACACGGCCGACCAGGGTTCAAACTCTGGTTTGGCATTTTTGCATTAGTCCTTTTGACCCAGGTCCACCCTGATTTCTGGAACTTCAAGAGCTGTGGTTCCAATCAGGCCGGCTCGATTTGATGCCAGTTCCTGCTGCTCACTGATTGGTTCACTGCTCGTGGCGTTACGTCACACAGATGAGAATAATTTTACGTGAATCATTAACAGTGACTGTAATGTGTTTTTTTCACCAGAGTTTAAACAACAACAGTAGCAATCTATCAATCGACAACAAGCTAACATTAGCTACCATTAGCTCAGTTTCGGACCAGTTTCCTGCATGCTTTGTTTCTCTGCTTTGGCACACCTTATTTAAATGAATGAGTGGCCAAATTTAAAAACCTGCTGAAGAGCAGGGAAACAACTAAAACATGCAGGATAGTGGGCCATGAGGACTGGGATTGAGAACCATTGCTTTAGCTTACTGTTGCCTGTAGTCTTGCTCTCTATTCATTAGAGATGCTGGATGGCACGGTTCAGTTTTCTGTACTTTTCCTTCAAGTTTGGTGTAGTTCGTCATTGTTGTGTCACAAATAAAACAAAATTAGATTTGCACGTGTTTAATATAATGATCCCGCCCACATCGAAGCGACTCTGAGCTTCCTCATCACAGAGCACACACACCCACCCAGCTCCGTGCTGAAATGGGTGGGACAGAAGCAGAAGGTGGTTCTTAAAGAGACAGTGGCCAATTTCAAGGCATTTAGAAACGGATATGATGAAAAGTCAAGTTTATTTTCTATTTAAACATATAAACAACATTTAAATATAGAATTTAAATATATGCATGAGAAACATAATATTGGCCTTTTAAACAATGTTGATTATTTTTGTTTTGGTCAACATTTCTGTTCCTGATATCTGGGCTGATTTCTTTAATTTTCTCACACAAACAAGCAGCGTTCAACATGTTTAAAAAACAGTTTATTCATCTTTATTTACAGTGTACTGTAAGTAAACATCTGTTTACAGCTGTTGAAAACTTCTGACTGAATTGTTGTTAGGGTCATTTTTTCCACAATAGTTTTGGTTTTTGGAAAAGTGAAAGTCAGGACAGATTATGAAAGAGGCTGATTTACAAATAACACAAAGATCATCAGAGTAATCAAACATTTTCTCACCTTGTTACCTTCAATTAATAATGAAACTTCAGGAACATCATAAGGGATCAGTTAGGTTTTTTCAATTGTTTGTTTTTAATAAACAGCTAATAGTCATACAGGTCTTCCAGACATCAGGATGTAATCTGGTTTTGAACATTTTGTTCATTAACAATGAACAAAAGATCCTCCAACAATTCATAGTTGGCTTCCACTCAGAAACTAACTCAGGTAATCCTGTCCAGGTAAAATCTGAGCCATAAATAATCCATCCAAGGCATTAAATCTATAAATGTTAATGGATGAATATGATTTGTGAACAAACTTTGGACAAACTTATTTCAAGATCTGTGCAGTAAAAGAAATAAAATGTTTGTTCTTATTGTTAAATCAAAAGGAAGCAGACTTTTTTGTTTTAGAAAATGTTTTACTTTTCATTCTAGGAGTTTAGCTCTTTGACGAGAAGTGAAACATCTTCTGGTGTATTAAATAAATTAAGGATTAATTTCCAGTTGGTTTAGGCTCACCTTGAATTACCAGAATAACTGTAAATCTATACATTTAAAAGTTAAAGTCTCAACTGTAATCTGATGATTTGACCAACAGAGGGTGTTGGATGAAAACTTTAAGCAGCTTCATGTCATCAAAGGCAGAAATCTTTAGTTTGTGACTGCCTCTTGGAGTTATCATATAATATATTAACATGTTAGTGTTTAGTGGGCGGCTGTGGCAGAGTGGTTAGGGGAGTCGTCCTGGAACCGGAAGGTCGCTGGTTTGATCCCCCGCCCAACTCTCTCACTTCACCTCTAATGCCTCTGATTGTGTCCCATCAGTGTATGAATGTGATTGGCACTGACTAGTCTTCATAGATGACTCTACATGTTAGCTTTGTAGAGACCTAATAGAGTGCTGTGTGAATGGGTAAATGAGGACACAGATTATAGTGTGAAGCATTTTGAGTGTCCTGGATGGATAGAAAAGCGCTATATAAGTACAGTCTGTTTACCATGTTTTTTACTCTCATCCTAGATGTAGGGAAAAAGACTAGAAGAGTGTGTCTCTAATGTAAAAGAAATAAAAACACTCCTCTGTAAAGATAACATGACCTTAAAAATGTGGCGTCAGCAGTTTTTTATAGTTTGAGTGAAACTGAACTTCCAAAAACACAATCTATCTTCACACAGAGACCAAGCAAAGATACATCCAGTTAAGAGATTTTTAGAAAAGCCTAATAGTAATGTCCTTACACAAACTCTTAACTTCCTTTACAATGAAATTAAATCTTGTTTTTACAAAGTTAGCAAGGTTTTTTTTACACTTTTTACCCTAAATCTTCTGAACAATTTCGACTGATCCTGGTGATTATTATGTGGGAGTGGCTCAGTGGATGTTGGAGTAATAATTAGGACATTTTCTTTCACCACAATACGCTGCACGTTGCATTTTTTACTGTTGCTAGGCTACAACCAGTGGCTTAGCATCTAAATTATAGCATTACTTTTGAAGAGATAAATACATTGTTCTGGTTTGTTTTGGGGGATTTTCATTCGTGTGTGCGCGTGCGTGCGTGTGTGTGTGCGTGCGTGCGTGCGTGCGTGCGTGCGTGCGTGCGTGTGTGTGTGTGGATATGTTTTAGCTACATCATGGGGACAATTTTCTAGAAAAACACCACCTTGTGGGGACCCACATTGCTCCCAGGCATTGGTCCCCACAGGTACGGATGCTGATTTGGGGTGGAGAGGGGGTTATGTTTAGGACCAAGGTGTAAATTGAGCTTAATCCAGGTTTTTGGTCAGGTTTGTACTGAGGTGGTTAGATTTAGGGTAAAGGCTCAGGGTTAGGTTGTAGAAATGACTGGAAAAGGAATGGAAGTCAATGCAAGGTCCTCACAAGAGTAGAAAATCCAATTTGTGCGTGTGTGGTAAATGGTCTACAGAACTAAATGTTTTCCACCAATGAAAACCATAAATACTATAAATGTAGAGATGAGAGAAAGATTGATGACTGATTGATGTCTGATTGATGACTGATTGATGTCTGATTGATGTCTGATTGATGACTGATTGACATCTGATTGGTTTCTGATCAACACAGGCTCTGAACACTGAACTCATTAGAGCAGAATTAAACTGTGCACACTCACACTGTAGTTTTAGGGGAGAATTTGCTGTAAGCGAGTTGCCAGATGGTGGATTTTGCTCATTATTGTGTCTTTGGGGAGAGCAGGAGGACAGGTGGAGAGATTCACTGAGTCCTTCCCCAAATAGAGTTTTATCCTTTTCCTCTAGTTGCTGTTTAGTCGTGGAAGATGTGGACTCTTGATAAAGAAAGGATGAACTCGGGGAAACATTTAGTCAGTTTTGTTGAAGTCATGTTTGACAGACTATGACAGATAAATATATATCATGTTTGCTTTCTAACCTCTGAGTGACTGAAAGAAGAAGCAATCGGTCTGGAAACTGATCCGTCTCTAACTTCAGTCCAAAAAAACCCAAACTGATGATTTATTTTATGCTTTGAGTTTTGATGTCTTGTTGGCATATTAATGCTTTATTTTAAAAATGAAACTATTTGAAGGGAAACATTCTGAAGTTGTGAGTTTCCACAAATTAAGTAAGAAAGAAACAACTTAATCTTCATTTTTTCATTTATTCATTTCATCCATCCATCCATCCATCCATCCATCCATCCATCCATCCATTTTCTTCCGCCTATCCGGGGTCGGGTCGCGGGGGCAGCAGCTTCAGAAGGGAGGCCCAGACCTCCCTTTCCCCAGCCACTTCTTCCAGCTCCTCCGGGGGAACCCCAAGGCGTTCCCAGGCCAGCCGAGAGACATAGTCCCTCCAGCGTGTCCTGGGTCTTCCTCGGGGCCTCCTCCCGGTGGGACGTGCCCGGAATACCTCACCAGGGAGGCGTCCAGGAGGCATCCTTACCAGATGCCCAAGCCACCTCAACTGGCTCCTCTCGACGTGGAGGAGCAGCGGCTCTACTCTGAGTCCCTCCCGGATGACCGAGCTTCTCACCCTATCTCTAAGGGAGAGTCCAGCCACCCTGCGGAGGAAACCCATTTCGGCCGCTTGTATCCGGGACCTCGTTCTTTCGGTCATGACCCAAAGCTCATGACCATAGATGAGGGTAGGAACGTAGATCGACCGGTAAATTGAGAGCTTCGCTTTCTGACTCAGCTCTCTCTTCACCACGACGGACCGGTACAGTGCCCGCTTTACAGCAGACGCTGCGCCAATCCGCCTGTCGATCTCCCGCTCATTTATTCATTTCATTAAAACAAAACGAAAAATGTATATACAATAAAAAAGAAAAATATATAAAAAAGAAAAATAAAAAAACAGTATATGTGTATCAAGATCACAAATGAAATGAAAGGTAGCAGAGAGAAGAAAAAATCGTATATCTGCTCCTTTTCTCCCAAGAATACGTTCATACAACAAAAAATATATATCATTAACAAAACAAAAGACAAGAACATCTAATCCCTCTAGAATAACAGTTAATATAAGTACATTTTATTCTGTTTGATTTTTTAA